GCTGCCCGTTTAACAGCCTCATCTTTGTCAAACTTTCTTATGTTCTTTCTCTAACACGTAATGAAGGTTATTAAGCGTTTTAGCTCCTGTGTTGTTAATATTGACCACCATTTCCTTTATGAAGTGAAGCAGCCTCCCTGTCTCTGTCCTCGCGCTGTCCTCACACCCCCGGACCCCCAGACTCGGAGGAGCACAGGGATGTCAGTATTGTTTATGAAGCAGGGTAAAGAAAGTACATTATTGAAATGAAAATACTATTTATTTACTTTTACAAACAGTGAGCAGCTGGGCAGCTGCAGCATGTGTATTACAGGACATGTGTAAGCGTGCAAGCGTCTCTGAGTTGTAGAAAAGCGCTAGGCCTATAGGCTATAAATCTAATGTATTATTATTAGGTTATGTCCTATGTGTTGGACATGTGTGGTTGGACTCTGTCTCACAGGCAGGTTGCAGTGTAACATCAGAGGACACTGGGCCAATTGTACATTCTCAAACTGCACCACTTAGAATTAACTAAACAATGCAGAGATTATTTTTATATAATTGTATTCAATAACCGTAAGAAATTCAACAGTATGAAGTGATTTGTAAATAGGAATACAGATTTGACTTAATGTTTTCATAAATATATTTTTCTCCCAGTTTGTCATGGGACTTATTTTTACCCTCTCAAAGAACCGGAATTGAGAACCGAAAATAACCGGAATCGAAAAGCAGAACCGGAATCGTTAAAATCCAAACGATACCCAACCCTATGTGTGATGCAGTAAAATCTTACCGCTCACTTACGTTAGCGGTGTCGTAAAAACCGTGGGAAAATGTAAAATACGATGGCAAAGAAGAAGATTCCAGTGGCCCCAATTTTTGTCCATTCTGGACAAGTGAAAAATGTATTCGGACAAGTAAATTGCCAAACTCACTTGTCCATGGACAAGTACTCTCAAGTACTTTTTCTCACACTGGTCTGGTGCTTGCATCTGTTCTGCTATTTCATCTTATCTTGGATTTTTGTCATCAGCTGTGTTCAGGGCCGTATCCAGGATTTCCTAAATACCGAGGTCCAAACATGCTAGGGGGGTTCGGGGGATACCCCCCGAGATTTTGGGGATTTTCATGATCTAGTTAGGTGCTTTTTAAGTCCTATGGGGGGTCCCAAATTGGATAATATATCGATTTCAAATCATGTCAGTGGGCTGACAATGTCAGCATCAATTATTTTTGAAAGTGTAATACATAAGAATTAGTTGATTGTTACTATTAATGATCTGGACATGCAGAAGAGCTCAAATGATCACAAAACATTGTCAACATTCATTTTCCATGTCTCTCTCCTTTCCATAACCTGCAGCCTCTCTTCCATCTTCTTTACTCTCTCTGTCCTCTACTCTTTCTCTTTGTTCAACCTCTCCCTTGTTGTTCACTTTTTGCTCCTCCTCACTTGTCGCTCCTGCCAGTGAATTAAAAGCAATTCAGCTATTTAGTTCATTTCACTCGTTTGTTTGCATTCTTTTTTTAATTTAAATCTGTTTTGTTTGATTCTCAAAAGAGAACAAAGATGTAAGCAAATTGTGTTTTATACAATTGTATGTTATTATGACATCATAACTGCAATAGATGTATGTTTTAAAATTATGCCTATTGTAAATGAAGACTATTGTTATAGATAGATAGATAGATAAATAGATAGATAAATAAATAGATGGGCTTATTAAGCCTACATTATTTTGTGTGACTCCAGTTCCTCCCTGACTTCCATCACTTTCTCTCCCTCTCTCTCTCTCTCTTTCTCTCTGCCTGTCCTGTCTCTTCCTTACCAAAGCTGAGCTTCGACTGACGTAGTCTTTTCATTATATCTGAGTCAGTGTAAAAAGAAAATACAATGTTATATCTTCAATGTTTTACTCAAATTGAAATGAAAGAAAAGCATTACAACGTTTGTTAAAAGGTAATCCTTCTGACATTGGATGAATGTAATTAACTGTAGCTCTCTAGCTAGTTTATTCACGCAATGTAAACCAAAGTATAGCCTATAGCTGCAATATAAGTTAGTGTGCATGTTGTCGGACGTCCACTGACTAACGTAGAGCGTTCACACAGGATCTGCTGGTCATATGACGTCCTGATGAGCAGAAACACAAGCAGCCTGCTGGACTCAGATCTCTAGATACCTCATCACTCCTCCGCTGCTCCGGTTCAAGTCCGGTCTGCGGTGGTTTGTTGATACATGTAGTCTTCTTCTGTTTGCTTTAATCGAGGCTACGTAGTTATGCAGCGCCCCCATGGTCAGTAAATGGAAGTACTACAAAGAACCCCGTTTAGTGCAATTATTTCACAAGTTTTGTTACACAGCTCGGAAAATATTACCGAGGTCCGGACCTCGGTGACCTCAATGGTAGATACGGCCATGGCTGTGGTGCGCTCCACAACTGACCATGAGTGTCAGTACTATACTGTTTCGACCATCCCCTCTGCGCTCCGATGGGGAATGTGATGGCGAGACAGTGCTGATGAAATACAAAGTGGAATTTGATTTGAGATGGCTTACTTCTTTTACAATTGAAAGATGCTTATGGAATTAGTTATGGCTCACAAGCATATGCACAAATAACACTGATGGTTTGAATGTAGGATCTTTAAGAAACGTGTGATAGTAACTGAAATGAAATATTTGAGAGGCTTTATTATATGTATAATGATGCTTATAACAATCTGGCTTCAATTCACCACCTTACCATCTGCATAGACAGTTTCCCCTGTCAACATAATATTCTGTACATTTTTTTCAAAATATAGATTACAACTTTTGCATGGGAAGTGGCATACACCTCTTTCAAGCCCTGTTTTGTGCATACATAACAGTTATAAATGAGACCCCAGCTCTTTAAAATTACTCTCTTTGTTGCTTTGAAATAAACAGGACAAATCAACACATTGTATAACAGATAGTCAATATATGCATGAGTGACTCGTGCAGATGGTTATTAAATAAATGCAATCTCACCTGCAACCATCAGCTTGTAGATGGCCTCCACATTGTCGAGGCATGTCTTGGCTGATGTGCTAAGCTGGGCATGCATGGGCATCAAAACCTTTGTTTTAGATGTCCGTGGCACCCGCTTGGTAGGGGGATACGCCAGCAGCAGCAGGGGCTTCAAGCCAAGGGCATTTTCCAGCTGGGAAAATAATTGTTGAGAGGTAGAGAGATCAATTAGATAAATACACAAAACTGTTGTTTACATTTGAATTTATCTGCAAGCTTGCCCTGAAGTAGCATCAAAATAAATCATCTACACTAATATCCTGGCATCATAATAAAAACAATGATTTGTTCATAATGTTTTGTTGGATACATTTGGGATTTTTAACTTATGAGACACTTCCTAAACTTCCTACACATAATAGTTAATTCTGTTTGAAAATCATTAATCATGAATTATATTCTCATTAATGATACAATTAATAATGTGGATGTGAAGCAATACCAGTTAATTTATAATCCTCTGTCAAAGTAATAAAACTACTTTTCACACTTTTGGTGAATGAGATAATTCTGTAAACTACATACCAGAAGGGCGGCGTCATCAATAACGTGGGACTTGATTCTGTTTTTAGTCATGGATGACAACCACTGCTTCTGCTGGCTTTGGAATTTGTCCATTTTCTTTTTGAGTCTCACATTTTTTGGCTGTGGATGTTCACATAGTGGACAGATTTTATTTCCACAGTACATTTGTTCACTACAGTTTGGGCAGGTCTTTTTTTGTGACCCTCCAGCCATTTGTAGGAGTGAGAGAGTGATTAAAAGAGAAAGTGAGAGAGTGATAGAAAGAGAGACAGTGAGAGAGAGAGTGGCTCTTAAAAGTGCCATTGGTTTTATGTATGTGTGTGTGTGTGTGTGTGTGTGTGTGTGTGTGTGTGTGTGTGTGTGTGTGTGTGTGTGTGTGGTGTGTGTGTGTGTGTGTGTGTGTGTGTGTGTGTGTGTGGATATGTGTGTGTTGGTGATATTAAGTGTTGTAATGAAGCTGTAAAACAGAAAAAATAAAAACATGATTAGGATTATTTAGAATAACAGTAATAGTCTAGATGGAAATAGGGGTCCACGCGCACCCCTCGGAAATTTTTATGCCACCTGATTTTTCTTAATCCTTAAAGTGTCTACTTTCAGAATCTGCCAGGTACCAAGCTGAAATAATGTCCGAAAGGCTCCATTTGTAACCCTTTATTGCACCTAACCCAAAACCGAAACATTAAAATGTGATGTAGCAAGAGGCATAACCTTTGAAGTAAACAACATACAGAGACAAATTAATAGATTTTTCCATACAATTCTGACCCTAGGAATTCAATGGAATAGTTATTTTTGACATTTGACAACATTTTGACTGTATTTCTGGACAAAAAAAATGCAAAAAATGTGTGTCTGACCAACTACTTTTTTATTTTTCAAACGCATAGAGTGAATATTTGTTGACAATCAGTTTTTTTTTCAATCCTCCAAGTGTTTATTTTAAGATTATATTGGGTACCAAGCTGAAATAATGTCCCAAAGGCTAGTTTTAACCCTTTATAGCACCTAACCCAAAAATCGAAAAATGAAAATATAATGTAGGAGAGGCATAACTTTTGAAGTAGACAACTTTCAGAGCGAAATTAATACATTTTCCCACACAATTTTGATCCTAGGAATTCAATGGGATGGTTATTGTTGACATTTGACAACATTTTGACTGTATTTCTGGACAAAAACAGCAAGAAATGACCAAACATGTGTGTATGACCAACTACCTTTTCAACACATAGGGTGAATATATGTTCACAATCAGTTTTTCTCTAATCCTTTAAATGAAATGAAATTATTAAATAAAATCTTGTTGGGTTTATTTTTAACTCTTTATTGCACCAAAATCAAACATGAAAGATTATGTAAAGTGTGATATAATTACAACTTGAACAATTAATACATTTACCTTTTCATGTCACTACCAACTTGCTGACCTAAACTACTCATCATCCTCATCGTCACTGAAGAGATCTTCTAATTCAATTTCTTCCATCTCCAGCTCTTCATCCTCATGCTCGTACTCTCCATCCACTTCACCCACAGACAAGTTATTGTTGGCGAAATCGGTCACCTTGTCAAGAGCTGCGTGCTCTTCTGACTCTGCTCTCTGAGCCAGTACCTCAACAAGAGAAGGAGGGAGGATGGGCCCAATTGCCCAGACCGGTTCCAACACCTCCTCTTCTCCTGTCTTCTCCCAGCCCATGCCTGGATCATGTGGTTTTGGGCTCTCGATTATTGCCTTGTCTGCTCTCCTATAGAAGGTGACTCTGTAGTTGGCTCGCTGGACATGTGGAATGAGACAGACCTTGGGAGGAGGCAGGCGTTTCAGGTCTACTTTTGACTTAGAGTCCAGGACTTTGTCAGCGCCGACCATCTTTCTCATCATTTTCACCCGTACTGTGTCAACTGATGTCATCCGTGCTTGGCCATACATAATGCATGTGAAGCTCTCTATCTCCTCTTGAAGCTCATCAGTGACCATCCAGTCTGCACCAAGCTGCCTGAAAGCTTTGTGGAGTTTAGGAGTCTTCTCCAGCTTCTTCAGGGGATTCACCTTGCCTTTGCCTTTAAAAGCGCTGGTACAGTCCTCCCCAGTAAAGACGTAGAATCCCAGCAGTGTGCTACAGTAGTCAGGGCCCAGTGATTCCGACAGTTCTGTCACATTTATCAGTGTGCGATGTTTGCCAGAGCCGTGGTCAAGGTATATGGAGAGGTTGATCCTGCTGGCATGGTAGAGGAGGATCATCAGGATGTCTGTGTCAGGTGTCCTCACCACACTGGACTTGTACCCCCATTTGACAGCCTGGTGGAGGTACAGGACAATCCGGCTGTCTGTCTCCTCCTGGTTGGATCGCAGTTCATAGATCTCAGAAGTCTGGACCTGTAACAATCAAACAAAGTAAATGAATACTACTACATATTTTAACAAATTAACATTTTAAGTTATGCAGTTTTTGTCGTATGTATTAAGAGCCCAATTATGGTCTGCAATTGTATGTGTGTGTCACGCTTTTTCTGTCAACGTACTTTTCCATTTGTTGATGTTAGGTCATAAGATCTTCCGTCAACACACACCACTGCTTTCATGCTCTTCTCAATCCGGGATGATGCCTCATTGCTCCCCCAGACCCTGAGAAGCAGGTCACATAGCTGCTTCTTGTTAAGCTCATTGCCAAGGAATGACTTAAAGTCATAGGGCCTCCGGGTGTTTGGACCATCAATTATGCGCTTCTCAGAAGAGCCACGTCTGAGCCTCTCCTGGGCTTTGATGGAATCTGGTTGGTAGCAATCTGTAGAGAACTCCAAATGGTGCTTGGCAACCATTTGGTCCAGGAGCTGCATGCAAATCCCTCCGAAGGTCGGTGGGAGGTTGGACATCATGTGGAAGAGAGCGTTGCCATCCTGTATGAAGAGGGCATCATTGGGGTAAGGTACGTCTTCGTCCCTGTCCTGCAGCAGATGGTGAAGGATAGTGGCCTTGTTGGTTTTAGCAAAATAGCCATCCGGAGAGCCAAGGGCATGAGGAACAGGTGAGAGGGGATACCGCATGAGTTCCTCAAGGTTGATGGGCATCTCCATAATCTGCGACTTAACGAGCAGCTGAAAGGCGAGGTTGCTCTGCTCCTTGTACACAAAGAGCTGGAATGGAAAATAAGGAAATGAGGAAGGCATAAATACAACAGAGTTTTACGGTTTTATTCCTTTCTGAATAATGTTTTTGTGTAATGAAATATGCAAATGGTATAAGTAAAATCAATATCCACCTTCCCCTGCGCAGATGTAAGTTTGACCCTCTTGCTGCAGTAATCCATTGTCTTGAGCATAAGTTTCTTGAGGCGGTCAAAGAAGTCTTTCCTCTTGGAAATGAAGCGCTCTTGGATGAACTGCTCCTTGGCAGCCCTGCCTGCAGCCTCGGCCCGCAGCACGTCAGCCTCAACCTCTGGATCGATGGGAGCTCCAGATGCGAGGGAGTACAGTCGACTTTTGTCTGGGATTCTCCAGGGGTTTGTGAAGCCATTGATGGCAGAGATGACGCTCTGCACCGCTAATTCAGACTTTTTGATTTGGGCAGGCTCCAGCTCACGGTGCTTGCCTGCTTTCGGCATCTCAGGGTCGTCAATCATGCCACACATCTCAAGAGTAAGCTCATAGAGCTGAGCGCGGGCAGAGGTTGTGCGGCACCATTTCTGGTATGCGCCACAGTTGTTGAAGAGACCTCGTAGACCACCTGCAATGTAGAGAGGGAGAAGTCTGAATTTTAGCGTCACAGCCAACATGAACATGGAAATTAAATATAGGTGACTATGTTTGTGTCCACAAACTGACATACCTGAAGTCTTAGCAAACCTCATGAATGTCTCCTCCATGGTCTTGTCCACTGCTGCGAGAGCCCCTGGGATCAATGATCGTGCAACAGCTATAGCTCCAAGCTTGATGTAATCAAGAGCACCAGGATGGGAGAGGTCGATGTTTGTGAGAAAGGCCTCAAACCAGGTAAGGTACCTGTAGGAAATTAATGATAATTAAAGTTTATTATAACAACTACAATAAGCTCCCACTTATTTTTATATTGAGTATTCAGCGAATGAGTGCATAGATTACCTGGCGTAGTTGTGGCCATCATACGCAAAGAAGAGATCTGCCATGGCGCCGTTGCAGTGATGGAACAGCTCGAAATTGTTGGTTTTCACAGCAAAGACCAGCCTGGCATGATCCATCATGGAGAGCCAGAACATGCCCGTTTTACCCGGGTGGCCCCTGCGTACCTTGTCTTGGTATTGGAGGTAGTCACCAATCAGCTTGAGCAGTGTGGGATCGTTCAGAGTGGAATTGAGGCTCTCAGAAGTGCAAGAGTGGATGAGGTTGAAGAGGATCTCATATGGGATGTCTGGTTTCTCCTCCTCTAGAAAAACATTGAACAGCAACCGTTCGAGTGCCTCTGTGACCGCCTTCAGACTGAAGAGAGCCTTGGCATATGACTTCCCGCTCAGGATATTTTTCAGGCAACCACTGTTTGCGAGGCCAGCTTCTATGAGGATCTCGGCGTAGCCAGCTCCAAGACACTTGCGCCCAGTGAGTCTGCCCATGTAATTCATGGCTGTGTGGAACTTGCCAATGAGGTTCACATGCTTACTGAATTCCTCCTCGTACTTCCATACTATAGGACAGGCTTTCATGACTACTCCCAGGTCAAACGTGTTGATGGTATATGGCTGTCCAACCTCCTCAGTTGCTGCCTCGGATCTCTTGAGTAGCTCATACACTACTGCGTTGTCTGTAATGGGCTGGTTGATGGGGGTGTAAAAGTCGATGGTAGATTTCCTAGGAGGCACTTTCCCTGTGCTTGAAATAAAACCACCAAATCCAGGCACTTGCTGCTTGCCCTGGCTGCTCAACCATCTGCTGAGGAGGTGAGTGTTGTACTGCAACATTGAGGCATCATATGACACTTGGTTCTCAGCAGGAGGGGTAAAGTTGGCATTCTTGGGGAATTTGGGGCCAACTCTTTTGAATGCCAGCTCTGGCAGCGTCTCGGGAGGCGTGATCTTAAGGCTTCTCATGTTGGATGACCTGTCATAGAGAGGAAGGGTCCTTTTCTTGGTGCTCACATGGCTCTCCTTCACTTCTTGAATCATGATTCCCCCGGCGCTGTTTACCACATTTGAACCATGAACGTTGGTGGTGATTCTGTTCAGGTTGTCCCACTCGCCGTGAAAAACAGTGTTTCCCTCGCCAGTGATGATTTGAGGGGTCAGGTTGGTGGACATCTCATCAAAAGCCTTGGCCATGGCTGTCTCAAGTTCCATACTGAAGTCATATGTCTCTGAGTGTCCTAGTCGTGAAAGGATGGTTGTGAGCTGTAAAGATAAACAAATGTTTTTTTATCAATATCAAATATCTGTATGAAGCATAGTTGAGCAATGACAATGTAGGACCTCATAAGCAATAAGTTAGCTGATCACTCACCTGTTTGCTTCGATAGAGGTGCCGAAGTGTGGCACACAGGAGGATGTGCTTTGGGAGTTTCCACTTGCTGTTAGTTGCTGCTCGACACACATCTTGTGTAATCGAATAGACCAGCCTCTGCGTCTTCTCACACTTTTCTTCATCAAGTGTCCCAGTCACCACTGAGCTCAGAAATTGTACAAGATGCTCTGGGAGCAGTTCATCCATTTTCACAGCATCCAGCTCCTGTGCAGTTGGGGGCCATGGTAGCTCCTTTGACTCTTTGAATGCCTTTTTAATGTGAGAATTGAGGGTGAGTGCTGCTTCTTGTAGTTGATCAGATGTTCCAAGTTTGTACGCACATGTAATTGCTTCATCTACAGCAGTGGTTCCCAAACGGTGTGCCGCGGCACACTGGTGTGCCGTGAGGCAAGTCCGGGTGTGCCGTGGGATTTTGTGACAACCATACGTTATTATTGCAATATACAACTACACAACAAATAATTATTTTTTTATTGACTATATCAGTACTTTGTAGGTTTATATGTACGTAATCTGCGTGATTTGTGCGTCCACATCTCCACGTGCAGTGCTGCATAAACATGGCTGAGTCAGCGATAACTTTCGAGGGGTGGAGGTATGCGCATTATTTTGAGTTCGTCCCATAGACTGTAGGTTCGTCCGAAGAATAGACAGGAATGTGACGGTGAGGTGCAAACTGTGTCCAGGCCAGAAGCTGTTATCCACTGCTGGAAACACCACGTGGTCAAACCTCAACAAGCACCTGCAAAGAACACATGCTAAGGTGAAGCTAGCGCACACGCTATTTGTTGTTTGTTTATATCACGTAGTCTGTTCTTCTTCTCTGTCTTCCGGTTGTTGCCTGTTTTGAATGACAAATACACACTACCGCTGCCTGCTGGTAAGGAAAGTTATTGCCACTCAGGCATGCGCAGTTCATACGTGCTCCGCGAGTAAAGTAACGAGTTACTTTATGTAGATAGTAACGAAGTAGTGTAATATATTACTTTTTTTAAAGTAATATGTAATATATTACATTTTTTTAGTAACAACCCCATCTCTGGAGTTGGCGTTCTCTACTCTGATTTACATGAAGAACAACAGGAGGTCACGGCTCTCTGTTGAACAGGACTTGCGAGTGGCCCTCTCCTCAGTGCCACCAAGGATTAAAAAATTCTGCGCGCCCCGACAGGCACATGTATCTCACTAATTTGTAAGTCGGCAAAATATTTACAATAGCACATGTTTCAATGCTGATTGCTGAAATGTTACATTTATAATTTGTAGTTCAGGACCATGGACAATGCAGCTTCCTTGCATTGACAGTTCTCTGTGCTGAATTTCTACTGAGTTTCCTTTGCCTCATTTTTTATTTTGTGACCTGTCTGGTTTAAATGAGTGTGTTGCTGCTTTGATGAAGCCTAATTTGATAAAGTTTCAAATGAATTTCTTAAATATTTCATGAGTAATATAGTTGTCTTTGTCACATTTTATTTGGCATTAGTAAATAATTATGCACATTTACAGATATTTTACATGATATGAGTGATAACACGTGTTATAAGGACTATTTTGCACAATAGGTGTGCCTTGAGATTTTTACTTGTCCTTTGATGTGCCTTGGGCACAACAAGTTTGGGAACCACTGATCTACAGTAATGCTTGAGCTGTATATAAGGTTCAACTCAAGACAACCATGGTGTGGTACCTTTGAGAATGTGAGTTCACGAGATATGTCTTTGTCTCCTTGTAAACGTCTTGCCAATTTCTCACTGCGGTATTCAGGATTAGGAAAACCTTCACCTTCCAGTGTCTTCCTGTACAAGTTGCACATGGATCTTAGCTGGACGACTTATTTGTGTTCAACCACATTCCTAAGAATGTAATCCTTTACTACACAATAGGACTTGTCATGTGCTGCCATTTTCCGGGCCTGCGGGCTGTCAATGTTGTCTGCTGCCTTTTTTCCTCTCTTCCTTCCACGCTCATGGTTTTGGTACTCATTGTTGAAGTTATTTCTGCATATTGGATGATACTGAGCTTCCATAGCAAAGAGGTCCTTGCCCTGCACCTTGCGATAAAGATCCTCTTTCTTCAATTCCTGTGCCCTAGGTTCGATAACTTTCCAGGCTGGTTCTTTGTGTTTCCAACTCTGAAACTTTTTTAGCTCTTCAGTCTTCCCCTTGAACTTGGTTGTTGTTTTGTCACAGAAGATACACTGATTTGGGAACAAGAAGGAACACCGAACCCCTTCAGTTTGACTTGAGAGACATTTGGGATGGTGTAGGGCATGGGTCGGCAACAGGCGGCCCGCGGGCCATTGTTGGCCCGCCAGCAATAATATTTGGCCCATCATTTTGAGAATCAAAAATAAAATATTATTTTGAGTTTTTTTGTTGTTGTTTTTTTTACAACATAGGACCGACAGTCGCACATCAGGGTTTCCGTTAGCCGCCGATCAATCGGCCGCCGGTCATTATCGGCCGATATTCACTCTTAATAGTTTGATCGGTGCTCTCTATAAAGGCCGATCAGGAGAGCTGGATCTGATCGATATGGACATAAACGCGAGTGAAGTATAACTGGACCCGAGAGAGAGATCAGATCAGCTGCTGAGTCTGACGGAGACACGCAGCTCTGCATAATCACCTGAAGCCCCGCCTCTGTTTAGCGAGCTGCATGAGAAACTGACGGGCTGTCAGGAGAGAGAGGGAGGGAGAGGGGAAAAGAGAGCATCCGTTTCTCCCGTGTTATTATTCAAAGTTAATGTAAACTTTTGAATAATGTACTTCATCTACTACAAGTAGTTTGTTTGAATGTAATAATGATGTTTTTTGTTGTTTGTGGAATCATTTATTGAAAAATGAATCTGAACTTTTCGATCTGTAACGATTATAAACTGAAGCAATATAAAAATGAGCCCCATTAACTGAGTTTTAAACATCAGCATATCCGGTCATAGTCCGGTGATTACCTGCTAACGGAAACTCTGCTACACCACTCTTATTATTATTATTGAAACATGACCGGTGAGTTTCAAATTTGTCCGGTAAAATAAATTCTGTCCCGACATATTCGCTTACATTCATAATGTCAGCGGAGGGAGGGGAAGCGGCTCTGTGGAAGAGCAGAGTGGCGAGGGAGAGCTGTCATCTTCCCTTTACAAGCTTAGTTCAAACATGTATTTATCGTGTGATTTTGGAAATAAAAATGTCATATTCTGAAAGCCAAGACTTTGTTTATTTAAAATCAAACAAAACACCCAAACCCCGAAAAACTAGTTTTTTACGCAAATCCACGTTTATTTTTAAATGAGCCGTTGCGACTTTCGACTGATTTCGATAGAGCACATATGGCAAATGTGTGGTTCTGGGGAACCAGGTCAATTAAAGTACTTATTTAACTATTAAATACATTGAGTTTGAGTAAAATACTTGGTTACTGATTAATTTAGGTTATAATATATTAAATTGCAAAGCAAAACTGCTGTAATTGATTTATTTTGTCCTTTTATATTTTTTAAAGGTTTTCAACCTGAAAGAATCCTAATGTGTCCTTGAAATGTTGAAATAAAGAAAAGGAAAAAGGATTCCAGTTGTCCCTCAAGCCTCTCAAATGTGGGCAAACACTCAAATAAATGCCAAAAACCCAGAGAACTTGACAATAATTATCAGAATAAAAGTATGTTAAATAACACTGCTACCTTAATAACTCTACTTTACTCAGTGAAGGCTCGTCCATTGAGGAAAGGGAGGACCATCCTCCCTAAAATTTCAGAGAAAAATAAACTTTGAAGAGAACAATAAATAGGCTACACCTCAATTTAAAAGATAAGTATGTTAAAATACAGATAATAGCCCTGGCTTTGGGACTGAAATGGGGCTAGAGACGAGCCTCCCTTTGGTCTAGCCAGAGGCTCTGGATTGGGGGCCTATATCATCAGTGAACCAATCAGCGGATCTGACTGCGCATCAGAGTGTTGATGGGGAGGGTTATCAGCGATATCAGAGTTTTTCCTGAACCGGGGAACAGGGGCGCTGCGCCCTCTTACCAAAATCAATTCCTTGAATTAGGCTTTGATTATGTTCTGGCCCGCCATCTTGCGGCTCAACAAAAAATTGGCCCAAGGCCAAACTTACTTGCCTACCCCTGGCGTAGGGAGTCCTTTATCGATGACGATGATTCACCAGATGTAGAAGCCTTTGACACTTTTAAACGATCCAATTTCCCTGTGAAGGTTTTGTAGCAGTTTTGATGATAGCCAGTTTTATCCAAAGGCAAGCCTTCTAACGTCAATGGTATTTGGTCACAAATATCCTTCATGCGGTATGGTGAGGTGGCTGTTTCGCAGAGTCTCATATCACGAACACTGTGTAGATACGATAGCTTCTCGCTTGCCCCCCCCTTGCATTTGCCGAGCATGATAAAATTACCATACTTAGAAGTTGAGACATGTAAAATACATGTTATCGATCTAATCCTCTTTGGAGGCACTTCAGCTGTGTTACAATGTTTCCTTTTTCCCATTGTCAGCAGTTTATGTAATCAGCCTGAATAAAGAAATTAGAAACATTAGATAGCTACCAACACTCTGAGGAGGACCAAATGATGAAGTATACAATGTTTCCTTTTTCCTATGGTTAGTATGAGTAATCAAACTGAAAATAAAGAAAAACATTATCTAGCTACTAACTTAGCTAGCTACCAACACTATAGTCAAGAATACAATGTTTTTTCCTTTTCCCTATTGTTAGTAGTGAGTAATCAGCCTGAAAATGCTGAAAAACATTAGCTAGCTATCAACTCATCTAGCTACCAACTTAGCTAGCTACCAATTTAGCTAGCTACCAACACTACTTAGTCAAGATTACAGATGTGATTTCTGTAAACCTTTTGTTGAAGAATTACTTGTATATGACTATTAGGTATTTCTTAATAATAGTTAATAATAATTATTAATAATACTTACTAAGAAAATCCTTGAGATTGTTCCCAAAGAAAGCAGTGCCATCTGCAGGTAGCCAGGTACCAGGTAACAAACGGCAACCAACTGTCAACTAACTGCCGAGCCCCGGTCACCAACATCATCAGCTTGGTACCCAATATTATCCAAAAATAAACACTTAAAGTATTAGAAAAAAACTGATTGTGAACGAATATT